CGCGAGTGCACCCTCTCTCGCCCCCCACCTTCCATATGTTTCATACCCACACACTCCGTCTACCGAATCTTGAGCAGCGGGCGGTTTCGGTTGGAGAGCCGCCGCGGCTAACTGATGTCTTTGCTTCGATTTCTGCATTGGAATCCATTGAGTATGAATTCTAAAGACCGTCAGGAGGAGATAATCATGGCGACCGCCAAGAGCTTCCATGCGTGCGTCTTCATAGGTACGCAGGTACGTGCACTTCCTGGGATGGCTGTTCAGAAACGCAAGCTGCACAACACACTGCTGATTGAGGCTGGGTGGAGTCCTGGAGCCTATACAAATAAGTCGGCTGGAATCAGTATCACGATTAGTTCTGGGCTGCGGGAACATCACATCGTGCGACAATGGCAAGCACCCGCTGAGATTGCTGGCCGAGCTTTTGGACTTCGCCTCAAGCGAACTGGATTGGACTTCACAGTAGCAGGAGTTTACTTTCCTCCTCGACCACGTGGGCGAGCTGGCCGCCCGAACTACTTTGCAGCGACGAACAGGCTGGTCTCGTGGCTCCGTGGTCTTTTAGTTGATATATCGCGATCATCACGTACTATGCCACTGATAAGTATGGATTTGAATGATGGCATTGGCATCGTGTGTTCTGATGGTCGTTGGCAGAGCTGTGACACCACTGTTATCCCATCGCATCTGGCTACTCGTGAACATCTCGTGGGAGGCGCTGGGCAGTTAGTTAGAGAACTGATGGAGGAGTTCGGCTTCGTAGTGCTGGGGGTTCGGGACCGTGTGGAGGACACTTGGTTTGGCCAGGACGGCATCTCCAACAGGGTGGACTACATCTTCGGTCCCGTGGTCGCCCAGAACCTGATCAACACAGCTGGACCATTAATGAGAGTTATGAGGCAACATCAACGCATTCCTTCCCGTCATCCTCGTGATCACATACCGCTGCACTGTAATCTGAAGTGGTCATTTGTCGAGCCTGAACAGTTGGGGAGAAATCGTCTTCACTGGAACTTCGATACCATGAAGAATGCCTCCGTGCGCGAGACCTTCCTCAATCGTGCGGCTGCCAAGTTGCAAGAGCGTGAGTCTGATCTGGCTTCGGCGGCTACGACTGGAAGGCCTGATGCTTATTTTACTATCTTGAATGACATCGTGCGTGAGCAGGCTAGTGAACTCTTCTGTGGATCGTTGCCCAACGCGTCCGAGGCCTACCGTGCGCAGGCCAGGGCGCGCAAGACTCTTCTTCAAAGGCGTTTGGAGATTCGCCGTCGTCTCGCCCACGCCGGCTGCGATGAGGAGGAGGTGGAGGTGGTTCAGCAGCTCAAAGCGATTAGCAAGCAGTGTCAGCAGCAGAGGAAACAACAGTTCAGGGAGTGGAGGGAGAACATAACGGAGGAGTTGGAGGAGGCCTGGCGGAAAAGAAATCACAAACAAGCCCATCGCTTGATCCGAGTTCTTGCCTGCAAGGGTCGTGGACCCCGTGGTCGTAGCTATCGCCATCTAGAGGGTGCTTCTCTAAGTGCTAAGGAATGGCTGGAGGTCTGGGAGAAGGAGGGACCACAGGGAGGCATGGAGGTTACCGAGATCAACCAGGAGGGGGAGGAGCTGGAGGAGGGGGTGAACGGGTACCTGGGCATGTTCAACATGGAGGCTACTACGGATTTGTTATCTATCACTAAGTATTTGCGACACGCACCCAAACGTCGATCGTGCCCGCCGTGGAGTGTACCAGCTGAGATTTGGGGCATGATCGTGGACCCTGTTTTTGGACTCTCTAAGAATTTCTCTGGAGTTGGATACTCCGTCGAGTTTCAACCTGAACCGTTGCAGGAGGCACTCTCTCGTGGTTTGCAGTGTATTCGGCTGGCGAACAGGTTCCCCACCTTGTGGAATAGGAGTTTCGGCTGCGCCTTACCGAAGAGTGCCACCCCTGGCCCCAAGGGGAAACGAGTCATCCACCTGCTGGACCCGCTGGGCAAGGCTTGGCTAGCTGGGGCCATTCGGAGGAACAATCCTGAAGCTTTAGGTCCCAACGACTATGGGTTCTGCAAGGGGAGACGTAAGGAGGGGGCCATGCTGGTGATGATGTTGGTTTCTCATCGTCTGCGACGGGGAGGTTACAGTTTTACGTGGTCAAACAAGGACCTTAGCAACGCTTTCCCGAGTACGTCTTGGAGTCTCTTGGAAGCGAACTCTGCACTTTTAGATGTTCCTGATCGTCAGTTTGGACGCGATCGATTCGAGTCGGCATCGATATGTCTTCCAGCCCGTGACCGTGCTCTCGTTGTAAAGCCTAGATGCGGAGCGCTCATGGGAGATCCTTACGCGGTGGAGAGCTTTGGCAGAGCCTATGAGATTCCTGTCTGTGAATGGAGTGAGGTGTTGTACGCCCAGATGCCTTCGGAGGCGCTTCTAGCAGCCACTTGTCCGATTACAGGCACGTTGGTAGATTTGTCTCTTACCAAGTATGCCGATGACCTCACGAAGCTGCACGTCGGTGGAGGTCCTGCGGCCTCTTGTGGTGACGCGGGCTTGGCAGAGCTTTCTGCCGCCAACTTTTACTCCAATCAAGTCTTGGATGAGGTTCTTAAGATAGGGGGATGGGCGCAGAACAGGAGCAAGCAGAACACCATCGTCTGTCTCTCTGGCCAGGGCTCGGTCGCCGCGAATCGTCGATTACGAGCCTCTGCTTCTGAACTTTTTGAAGGTGGAGTCAGTCCGTCTATGAGGGTGCTGGGAGGGGAGATTCATTCCATGGGCTCGATCACTCCAGAGGTAAACAAGCGCCTGAACGCGATCAAAAGTTCGTTTCATTCTTTGGGAAGTTTCTGGTCGACTCCTGGCATCTCGTTTCGGTTGAAACGCTCGGTCTTGTTGGGGGTCCAGAACGCGGGGGTCCAGAACCTGGAGGCCTACTTGGTGACGGAGGGTCTATGTAAGAAGTTGGATTCTCTGATGGTAAGATATTGTAGAGTGGCTATGAGAGGGGCTAGCTATGAGGGCACTACACATGTTCAGAGTCTCAGCAACGAGCAGGTGCTCAACCATTGGCGTATTACGCCGGCCTTTCTCGAGCTCAGGGTCCGTCGTTTGGGGTGGCTCGTGCAGTTCATCCGTTATCCTGGGCGGCATGCTCAGATTCTTGCAGCTCTGTTTGCTGAATTGGCAGTGGACGATCGTCCGCAGTATGATGAATTGGGTCGTCTCACCGCCTACGCGAACCCCTGGGCGAAGCAGTTCTTTGAAGATGTACAGGCACTGGAGGATATCGAGGACGGTCGAGAGTTGCTCGAACGTGCGCAGGGCTCGTTTCTCGCGCTTTGGTGGGATAAGGAGCTTGGAAAAGCGTTCTGTAAGATTGATTTCTCTCTCTTACGACGACGTCTTCATACGGTGGCGATTCCTCCTCCTGAGTATGATCCTCAACTTAGTGCTATGTTATCTACTGAGATCGTTCAGGGTGGTGCTGTGAAATGGGTCTGTGGTGTATATGAACATAGATGCGATCCTAGCGATACTATTGGTCGTCGAGTTCGATGCGATGCGAAGTTCCCCGATAAGAAGTCTGCGCTAAACCACTTACGATTCCATCATCATTATCGTTCATTGGGGCACGTTCTATGCCGCACTAACGAGTGCCCAAACTGTCGGGGGATCTTCTCGGGGGTGATCACGGCTAGCAGGCACCTCGTGGGCTCCATGAACAGGGGTTACTGTATTGCTGGGGGTGGAAAGTCTCAGGCTGCTCGGTCTCAAATTACTGACTTGGCTTGCCCCCTCTGCGAATATCACGCATCGGACACATATGATTTTCAGCAACATGTCCGTAGTCATCTTCCTCGAGTTCTTGATACTGTATCTACACGTTCCAGTGTTCAGCAGCAGCGAGCGCAGCGAGCTCGTGCTGCATCGTGGTCGGGTCCAGCCGGCCTTTCCAGCCATGCCGAACACGACGGCGGCGGTCCCCAAGTGGATGGCGCGCAGCACGGACGAGGGCAGCGGCAAGGTGCGCCGCATCGTCGGTCCAGCAGGGGGAGGCGCGCAAGAAGCTCGTCAGGTGGTCCAGCGCGGCGGAAAGAAGCAAAACCTGGACGAGCTCGTCATTGTTTTGGCAAAGTTGGTGCTCAACGACGAGGCGGAGTTGAGAGCGCTCATCGGCGCGGTGTACGACACGTGGCTGCTGCCGCTCGACAGTCGTACGGTGCAGTTCATGCTCGAGGAGGGCCAGAGCTTCAACGCGGAGGCCCAGCAGCAGCGCGAGCTTCAGAAGGCAGCGGAGAAGGAGGGCAAGGAGTTCACGAAGGTGAAGATGCACGCCCCTCACCTGAGGGCGTTTGCAGCATTGATCAAGGGGGCGGCGTTCGAGGAGACAGCGGGGCAGTTGCCCAAGGAGCAGACGGCGGCGGCGCAGTACTGGGTGTCGACGGTGATGGCAGCGGAGGACCCAGTTGTGCTGAGCGAGGTGGTGAGGTTCTGCAAGGCAAAGCGCCTCAAGACGAAGGGCAAGGACGACAAGGAAATGGCAAAGGTGCAGTTCCTCTTGGACACCAGCGAGCGCGGCAACCAGCTGCTCTCGGCGATCCGCTACTGCCTCAAGGCCGAGGGAGGCGAGAAGACCGTGGGGGCGGCCCCGCGAGGGGTCCTGGTGAGGGAGGCGCAGCGTCTGCTAGACCAGTGCAAGTAGGGGGTTCTAGAGGCTTCAGCTGGGCCAATAGCGAGCGAGCACAGCAGCTTCTGAGGGCGGGGCTTTTGAGTGAGGATGCTAGCAGGAGAGTTTCAGGTTTGACTGATAGTAGACCTCCTAGCGTGATCTTCTCCCCTTCCTCCCTCCCTCCGCCTCCTGGCCTTGAAGCCATCCCGACTTCCTCCCCCGCTCCCGTCTACTTTCCCACAGCCCCAGAGGTAGGACCAGCAATCCAGCTCCCTCCCCGATCTCGAAATCGTCGGGGCAGAGGTTCAGGTTCAGAGCGAGGCGCAACTTCAGGCAGAGGTGCCCGAGGTTAGCGCCTATGATGGCAGCCGCAGGCTGCGTGCCGTCGGGTCCGCCATCGGGCCAGTCTCCACTCCTTAAGTGGTCGTGGGGCAGCGCGGTGGCTACAGTTCCAGTCCGCCAACTTGGCGAACCCAGGCGCCTTTTTATCTTTGCAGCATGTGAGGTTGTGAGCGAGGGCTTGCATTGCAGTGCAGGGAGGGATAGGCGCCCCAGAGTCTTATCTTATCTTATCTTATCTTCTCCTCCTCCTCCTCCTCCTCCTCCTCCACCTCCTCCTCCTCCTCCACTCCACTCCTTTTCCATATAAATCGGCGGCCCGGGGTCCCTGGGGATGTCCCACCTTCAAGTTCGGCGGCACCAGCCAGGAGGCCTCCACAAGAACTCCGCCCCGTCGCACCCCCATGGCTGGTCGAAAGGGCGGGCCGGGCGTTTGGTCTCAGTCTTTGAAGGGGCCCCAGGACACACAAATAAATACACACAAATAAAAGGATTCCCCATATTTTCTCATATTTTCTGGGTTTCTGTCTTCCCCCCCACTTCCCATATTTTCCCATATTTTCTGGGGAATCGACGATTAATTGTGTCTGTGTGTTTCTTTCCCTCCTGAGTCTTTCCAACCACTTATGATCCTGAAGCTTAGAATTGCAGCAATTACATGGGTGGAGGGTAGGTCGCTTTCATAATGAGGCTCTCGCCTGAGCCCCGCGCGCACTCGTTCTTTTGGAGTGCCGGATTTTCACAGATGGGGGGCGGGCCGTTTTCAAAATGTGGCTCTCGCCTCAGCGCCGCACACATTCGTTTTGAACATGTGCAAGGATTTCACGGATGGAGGGCGGGTCGTTTTCACCATGTGGATCTCGCTTCAGAGCCGAGCACAGTGGTTTCAAGAGTTTACAACAGTTTCCCGGCTTCGCATGGCTGACGTTCCAGAAATGGCGTTCGAGCACGATGTTGCTCTGTCAGGAAGCAAAAGTGTTGCTGATTCGTGGCATTGAAATCCCAGGAATGGTATTCTGGCACAGTTCAGGATTCTCAAATGTTTGTTTCTCAACGAGGCACACTGCCTTCAGTGAAAATGAACCCTAGTAGGGGTCTATGACGAGGGAACTTGAAGGGAGGGTGTATGGCAATATCGTTGATGGGTCTGCGGTTCACACTGGAACTCCTCCTCCTCCTCCTCCTCCTCCTCCTCATCATCATCATCATCCTCCCCGTTACCTCATCTTCCTTGTCATCCTCCTTTTCCCTTCCCCTCCTCCACCTCGTCCCCTCCTCCCTCCCTCTCCCTCTCCCTCGTCTGCCTCCTCCTGCTCTTCCTTCTACTCCTGCAACCGCGGCCCTGGCACGCACCTATCTTTGAGGTGCGTGGCCACCGGGGCCAGGCGTGTGGGAGGGCAGTCCAGGGAGAAACATGCGACGGGGTGTCCATCAGGAGAACCTGCTGCTCACCCTCCTCCTCCTCCTCCTCCTCCTCCTCCTCCTCCTCCTCCTCCTCCTTCTCCCCCTCCTCCTCCTCCTCCTCCTCCTCCTCCCCCTCCTCCTCCTGCCCCTCCTTCCTCCCCTTCCCCCTCCACATACTGTCTCTCCCCCCTCTCCTCATCCTCCTCATCCTCGCCGCCCCCTCCCTCGGACAGGGCTAGCACGAGGACAAATCCGTTCCACAGCGCTCTGGAACGCTCTCGGAGCGTTCCGGAGCGCTCTGAAGCCGCGGCGCCCGAGACATCCTCCAGAACCGCCGGATCTCTGAGATTCCCCACGTATCCTCACCCGAATGATTCGTCCTCGTCCTGGCTCTTAGTGAGCCCGGGAAATGTCAGGGCCGTTGTTTCATTGTTTTCGAAAAAGAATATCTTGAAAATGGAAGCGGCAAAAAACGGCGGCCGGAGACAACAACAAAACGGCTCCGGGATTGGAACCGGAACCGGAGCAAACACAGCGACAGAACCGGCAAACAGACGGCGACGGAACAGGCCGCAGAAACGGCAAAACGGAAGCAGCAACAAAAACGGCCCTGTCATCTCCAGGGCCCACTTCGACGAAGTCCTGGCCTCGTGCTCTCGCCAAGGGTGTGGCTGGCGTGCGCACGCGCGGGCGCGCGCGCCCAGCGCCCAGCGCGCGCAGGACGGCGGCGGCGCGGGCGGCGCCTCGACGTCCGCGACCTGTCTTCGCAGGACCCGGACCTCCGCGCCGGCGCGGCGCGAGGCAAAGAGCGGGCATGGCCAGGGCCGCGGGTAGGGGGATTTGGTCAGTGCTAGAGGGCCCCGGAGCCGAAAACAGATCGGGCTGCACGCACGAGGGGGCCCCGTGGTGAGGGTGGCCTCTGGTGCGCAGCAATTGTTAGGGCCGCGGGGGGACCGACCACACAGGCGCGCAAGACGCTACTGCCGCATCGCGTTCGGCGATCGGGGGACGCCATTGGGCCCGCATCAAATGTCACTCCGGCGAAGGGTCACTCTTACGTACGTGTGGTCGGATCGGGTATAGCCAGGGGCCCAGATACGGGG